TTTACAATGAATTTTGTCAAAATAATATTCCATTTGAATTGACACATTTAAATTTATTAAAAAAGTCAAATAATATTGCAACTTTGAAGCCATTTCATGAAGGTTTTTTGCCACAAATTTTTAATCTTAAACCAAATTTTACATATAATAGCAACATCAGCACCAAAAAAAAAGGATTGAAAAAACAACTACAATTACAAAACCAACCTCTTCTTCAACTACTTGATAATGAAAAGAAAAGAAAGAGAACTGAAGTTGAGGAAAGAACAAGATTATGGTTTAAAAAATTAGATCAATTAACCACACAATTCAATACAATCACACATGATGATGACCAGTTCACTTTGAATTTTATAACTTGCACAAAGAATTTTTGGAATAGAATTGTAGAAGAAACTGATTTCATCAACAAATTTAACTCTAAAAAAAGAAAATGCAAGGAGTCAGATTAGCAACTTGGAGTGGAATTGGAAATGGATAAAAATTTATATATAAATATCTTATCATTTTATTCTTACTCTTATCATTTATTCTTACTCTTATCATTTATTCTTACTCTTATCATTTATTCTTACTCTTATCATTTATTCTTGCTATTATATTTTATTTTAACTTAAACGATCATTGAATTTATATAAAATCAATTATTTTTATTAAACAAATTTCGCGCACATGCACTTTTTTTGTGAAAAATTAAATTAAATTGAATTTTCTGGATACTTCATAAATTGCACCTTTCACCAATTTGTCAACAGGCAAAAGTTTTTTTATAAAATGCAGTTAGGTAGGTAGAGATTAAAAATGATTATTATTTTCTACTCTTGCAATGGCATTAGCTTCCTTTAATTGGTGGTCTGTCGTTCAACTATTAGTCTTAGTATTATTATGAAAAATTCAGGTAAAATAATTATAGGAAAATTTGATCTCGAAAATTTATCCATTAAACCCAAATCTTCTAAACTGAGGTCCGCTAAACTGAGACTCGCTATGTACTTTTAACAACCATAATTAATCCAGAATCACAATAATGACTACCATTGTCAAAATATTCCTATTCATTAAAATACAAATGCACTAAACCAACCATCTTGTTTATAATATTTCCCTGTTAAATCGTCCCCTGATGGCCAAGATTATGATGCAATCGAAAATTTATGAAGACTGGTTTTGAAATTGCATTCAGGTTCCTTTTTTTAAAAGACCTACTTAAACCTTAACTTTGTTCAGCGAGTCCTATTCAAATAATAATTCAGACGATTCAACAATAAGCCAAAATTACATCAAGAAAAAGACTTCCCTCACCCTAAAAACGTTGTTACACATTATGAAAACATATAAAAATTCGTTGAAACGCGATTAGTAACCTTGTTTCAACGAATGTTGAATAAAAATTTTCTTATATGTCCAGCCACAAGGGCAGACTGTACACATTTCACTTTGATCTGAATCAAGTAATATTAATTCAAATTCTTTATGCTCAATGGTGGTGTTTGAGTGATTTTCAATTTGATCAATCTAAAAACATTTGCGCCTTTTGCAAATTTTGATTTTCCATTTTTGATTTTACAAACTTACAAAAAATCAATGTTTTCTGTTTGATTTCTTCAGCCTCTAACCATTATATTTATTGATGAATCAATCTTGATTAACAATTTTTCTATAACGTATTCTTTTCCTGCATAAAATCTGTGAATTATTTATTTAATTTCGTTACAATAGACAGTAATTTTTAATGTTAGTATATGTTATGGGTCAAATTATGTTCTTTTTTCTAATATTATTGCAAACCTTAGGGACAAATTATATATTAAATGAAGTTTGTGGAGTCCTTGTAAAGCCCGTTTTTATTTTATTTGTTTTCGATCGACAAATGGGAAGTCACACAATGATCAATATTTTTATTGTAACCTATAATGCAAGAT